CCATAAAATTTTGGTCAGGATCACACACGATGATATATGTAGCATGCATAACATGCTTCCTGGTATGCAGGAAATGTTCCATAAACAATAAATATTAGTATTATTATTATTAGAACAAACAGTGTAAAATTCAGGCATTACTTCATGATCTTAGCCACTGAGCTGCAAACCCTATAAGGTCAAAACTACCATGAAATGGCTCAACTTGAAGGCCCCTCTCATCATAGGAATTTCCCATGTCTTACGGAAAATTCCAGACTCCTGAGTTCTGTAGACATTTTCTCCCCTACCCTAAAGTCCTTATTCATATTCAAGCTATTTGACACAAAATGCTAAAAATTATCCTTTGTTAAAAGTTCCACTTGGGTTTCTGAAGACATAAATTGACTCTACTCTTAATGTGACCAATCCTATTTTTCCCCTCCAGACATTTATTCTAAACATAAATAGAGTGAAAAGAAAATTAAACTCTCTTGATGTGTGTTTATGATAAATATATTTGTTATATGTACAAAGCACATATCCTTACTAAGTCTTTGTTCTTCTGTTTGCTAAAATGAGGATGATAGTAATATGTATCCCAAGACTTCTCGGAGAATTTAATGAGACAAGCCAGAAAATTACCTGACATATAGTAGGTGCTCATATGATGTTAGTCCCCTTCTTCCTTCTAGAAAAAAGAAAGGTCATATGGAGGTTAGAACCTGAACGGGGAAACTTTATTCTTTCCCCCATCCCTAATACCACCCAAGTTAATGGGTCGCAAACAAAAGTAATTATTTGGAAAGGGGAATGAGGGTTGAAAATTTACCTATTGGGTATAAAATTCCTTATCTGGGGGATGGGTACACTGGAAGCCCAGATTTTACCACTACACGATATATCCATCTAACAAACCTGTATTTGTAGCCCCTGAATCTATAAAAACTTGACTGGGCACAGTGTTTATGCCTATAATCCCAGCACTTTGGGAGGATCACTTGAGCCTAGAAGTTTGAGACTAGCCTGGGCAACATAGCAAGACCTAGTCTGTACACACCCCAAAAAATCAAAAAATAGGTGGGTGTGGTGGCACACACCTGTAGTCTCAGCCACTTGGGAGGCTGATCAGGATATTGCTGTGGAAGGATCGCCTGAGCACAGGAGGTTGAGGCTGTGGTGAGCTATGATGGTGCAAGAAAAGTAAATAAATAAATAAAAACTTTAGCTTGATTTTTAAAAATTTTTAATTTTAAATATGTGGGGTAGAGTTCAGGATTAGGTACACAAATTACCTTATTTTTACACATGCACACATATGCACACACAGGGTTGACATGGGGTTGGTAAGACTCCTTTGGTAAGTATAAGTGCTAGATCACTAACAAGAGCTGCCTGCCAGCTGCTAATATGTTTTGAATAAATCTCATACTTTGTGTTCCACTTTCTGTAATCACAGTAACACTAACACTCAGATCCCCTGGGGAAGATCCAAGTCACTGAGCGTGGCCAAAAATGCTCAGGGCAACCTGGGTACCGAATGCTTGCTTTCCAAGGGCTGTCTCTTCTCACTCCCACCCTCAGGGCCTGTTTGACCAAATAAGTATAGGCACACACCTCATCAAGCACTGCTCTCCACTGTACTGAGTCTTTATCATGCTGTGAGTGTTGAAAATATTTTTATAATATAAAAAGTGGTTATGTTTATAACTCTTCTGCAGGGTTTCCTAACCTGGGCACAATTAGCACCTGAATCCAGATGTGGAAAGCTGTCCTGGGTATTGTAGATGTGGAAAGCTGTCCTGGGATGTCCTTGGATGTAGCAACCTTCCACGCTCTGCACACTAGATGCCAATGAGTACCCTCTACTCCTGAGTTGTGATAAGCAAAAATGTCTCTAGACATTGCCAGTGGAAACAAAATCAATCCTCTTTCCCACTTTCCTGAATAGTGTGTTTAAAAGCAGCTTCTCCCTTCCCAGTCAGTTGCACCAGAATAGTAAACTCTCGGCCAAGGAGCATCAATAGGTAATCCTGCCTTTCCTCTGCTTGAATGGCAAATGACAGTCTGTTCATTCCCTGGGGCTTCCTTCCATCATTATTTTGTTTTTTGATTAACAGATTTGACCACCAAGCATGCTCAGGGAAGGGGATACCAGAGATGATGCTTGTAGACCCCTTGAAATGCAAAGGAAAGAGATGTTGGAATGTAGGCTTTTAAGGTGCCTTCAAAGAAATAAAGGTGGAGTAAACAGGAAAGATCAACACATCATGAGATGGTTGACCAATAATTGTGTGAACTATAGTTGGAAAAAGCACTGGTCAAGGAATGTTGTGGTTACGAGAGATTTAAAGAGAAGGCAGAGCTACAACGAATGTGCAAAGGTGGGGCTTCTGTAGAAATCAAGTATGGCGCTGATTTAGTTACCACTCCCATTTCTGAAAAAACATCTTGCAAATGGCATGTGCCTGTGCGTGCATTTACAAGGTGTGAAGTGCTTGAATATTCATTGAATATGTGCCAATTCTGGGAAGTATGCTAAACCAACATAATTAATCCAAATTTAGAGATGAGAAAATTGAAGCTTAAAGAACATAAGTGACTTGCCCAAGGCCAAGAGTAGCTGAACTCAATTAACCTAGGTGTCCTTCACTGGATGAATGGATAAAGAAAATTATATATATATATAAATAATATAATATATATATAAAATTTTCTTTATCCATTTAAATGATATTCAGTCTTTAAAAAGAAGAAAATTCTGCTGTTTGTGACAAAAAGAATGACCTGGAGGAACTACGTTAAGTGAACTAAGCCAGGCACAGAAAGACAAATACTCTTACTTACATGTGGAATTTTAAAAAGTTGATTCACAGAAGCAGAGAGTAAACGGTGGTTATTAGGGACTGGGGCTGAGGGGAATTAGAGAGACGTTAGTCAAAGGGTACAAAATTTCAGCTAGACAGAAGAAATAAGTTGTGGAGAACTATTGTACAGCATGGTGACTATAGTTAATAACAATGTATTGCATATTTTAAACTTCAAAGAAAGTAGATTTTAAGTGTTTTCACCACGCAAAAAAAATGACAAGTATGTGAAGTAATGTGTACATCAACTAATTTGATTTAGCCAATTCACAATGCATACATATTTCAAAGCATCATGTTGTACATAATAAATATACAAACACTTCTCAACTTATGGGGTCAACACTAGGGTGGCCATAAGCGTGCATGGCCACTGTACCGCAACCAGGGCGATGGAGTGAGACTTCAACTCAAAAAAGAAAAAAAGCATGTAATACACCTAGCCAACTGAATATCATGGCTTAGCCAAGCCTGCCTTAAATGTGATCAGAATACTTACATTAGACTAAAGTTGGGTAAAATCATCTAACGCAAAGCCCATTTTATAGTAAAGTGTTGAATATCTTGTAATTTCTTGAACACTGAAAGTGAAAAACAGAACAGTTGTATTGGTACTTGAATTACCATTTCTATTCAATGTGCATTGTGTTTGCATCATCATAAAACCAAAAATCGGAAGTTAAGCTACCATTAAATCAAATTGTCTTTATACAATTTTTATTAGTCAATTGAAAATAAACAATAATGGAGAAAAGAAATGTGTATGAGAATGTTTAAAAAATTTTTATTTTAAAGATGTGGGGTACAATTCAGGGTTAGGTATACAAATGTTCATTATACAGGTACCCTTGTTGATGAGGTGTGCCCCCCTCCCCTGGCAGTTTCCCACTACTGCCAATCCCTTTCTTATAGTATTATGATAATTGTTCAAGTTCTGCTTATGAGTGAGAACATGTGGTGCTCAGTTCTTTGTCTCTGTGATAGATCACTCAGTATTGTAGACTCTAAGTTCATCCAAATTGCTGTGAGATTCATAATTTTGTCCTTCTTTATGGCTGCATAATATTCCATCGTGTACATGTACCACATTTTTTATCCAGTCTTCTTTCAATGGGCAGCACTGTTGGTTCCATGTTTTTGCTATTGTGAATAATGCTGCAATAAGCATGTGGGTGCAAGTATCTTTTTTTCATAGAGTGATTTGAGTTTCTCCAGGTATATTCCCAGTAGGGGAATTGCAGGGTCATATGGAAGGTTAGAATTATTTTTTAAAGAGTAGTTGGACTCAAGCACAACCTCAGATTTCAAATCTGATGCTCACTAAGTCCCACTAAAGCATGATAGTTTTTGTCTTTAAATTAATTATCTCTAGGGTATCCAGGAAAGGAGGCAGATGAGAATGTGCTGGACTCTGGTGATTGGAGTGTGTCTCTAGACAGAGTGATCCTTTGAGCCAGACAAAGCTGGGCCCTATTTTTTAAACAGTACTTTTGACATTTCTGTTAAAATATGCTGAGTCTGCTCCTTGTCCAAGCAGGTGACTGTTTCTGACTTCCAGACAGTGTATTCCCTGAGAGCACTCAGAGGGGTTGAGGACTGCACCTAACACTGAGTCTGGCATACTGTGGGTTTGATTAATGTTTGTTGAATAAATGAGTGATACAAGGGCTTTGGAGCTAGACCGAGAGGGTCTCACTTCTGGCTCTAAAACTTGTTATTGGCATGACAATGGTCAAAGCAGTAGAATCTCTTCCCATTCTACAAAATGGGGGTTCTAAGTTTTGTACGATTCCTGTGTGGAATCAAGGGAGGTAATAAATGAAGAACATTTTTCATGGCGCCAAAAAAAAAATAAGGCACACAAAAATGATAGCTGGTTTCTTTTTTTTCTTTTTGGTCTTTGTTTTTTGTTTTATTGTTAAAGGGGCTTTACCCTGAAGTAGTAGTAAAGTGGCCTTGGTGGCCAGATCAGATAACAACAGGAGGACGAAGACAGAGCTGTTCTTTGGCTGGACACTCTGTTCCAGAGGCAGCCCAGCCTCATGAATAGCAGGAGTTAGGGTTGAATGAGCTAGATATGGGGTCTGGCCCCTCCTCTTGTCCCTTTTTTCCCTAAAATGGCAACCCAGGTTGGGCCACAGGATGGATGGCACCATGAAACTCCAGGCCTCTCTCCTGTTTCTCCTGACTCTCACTTTCTGCCAAGAACTTCGATCGGAAGAAGAAGAAGGTTGGTATGGAATGTGGGCTCTCCAAGAGTAGACTGGGACTAGAGCACAGGGGTCAGGGATGGGGGCAGCAGCACAAAGAGTCCATTTCTTGTCTCACAGGATAGAAAGTAATTTCAATTCATCTCATCAAATATATATTGGGTGCAAAGTATGTGCCAGGCATTGTCCTCGGTACTAGGGTTAAAGCAACAAGCCCAGGACCAATCCTGTTTTTGTGAAATTCATATTCTAGTAGGAAAGAGAAGGCAATCCCTAACATACGTTCTGGACAGTGAAATAGCTATAGAAAAAGTTGAGCAGGTGAAGGGACCTTCAGGATCTGGGGTGGGGTTGGTGGCAGGCAAGGAGAGTTTGAGAAAAGGACACAGGAGCCAGAATGTGAAGGTGTGAGGACTTAGCCAAGTCAGACCTACTTATAGGACAAAGCTCTTTCCTGGACCACTTTTTTAAAGTGGAAGCTTAAAACTTGCAGATGGATGGGGGAAGATAAAGTGCAGTATATCCCAGATAATCTATTGGAAATGGAGGCAGTAGGCAGTAGTTCCTTAGACTTTTGAGCAGCCCACAGGATTCCCTGTTTAACAACACATAATATACAAAAGTATAAGAAAATAAAAAATAATCAAAATCTTAGAGATTTTGATAATTATCATTGTCAATGTGCTGGTGAACATCCTTGCATATATAGCTCCCTGCATATGGAGCTAGATTGTAGATTCTTATACCTAAATGGAATCCGAAACCTCCCAATAACCCTCTAGGTCAGTGGTTCTCAAAGTTTGCTCTTCTCTGGCAGTAGCAGCAACAGTAACATACTAGTTCCCAGTCTCACCTGATCAGAAACTCTGGGGATGGTTCTCACACAGTCTGTGCTCTAACAAGCCTTGCAGATGATTCTGATGCACAATCAAGTTTAAGAACCTTTGCTGTAAAGAAGAACGTAGTGGTCAACAGGATGGGATTCCTGGAGTCAGACACACCTGGGTTCAGATCCTGGCTCCACCACTTACAAACTCTGTGCCTCAGCAACATTGTTTAGCCTCTCCAAGCTTCAGTTTCTTCTTCTGTAAAATAAGGCTAATGATCTTTCCTACTTTATTGATCAAATGGTCTGATGTATGTAAAGCTCTCAGTATAACTTAGCTCTTAATAGATTCTTGTAAAGTACTTAGAATGACTTCTGTCACATTCAAAATACATACATACATACACACACACACACACACACACACACACACACACACACACACACGTCATCATCAACCCCATTACATAAGAAAGGAAACAGTTCAAGTGATTTTCCTTTGATTTAATGGAATAGAAGAGCAGAGAGGCAGAACTGAGAAAATTAAGAAGCAGGTGGGACTCCAGGCTCTACAGAGTCTGACCTTTGCTTCTTTATGTAACGTTGGAAGTCATAGTGACTACCATGAAGAGTAATTGCAAGGACAAAATTACTCACATATGGTGACAGGATCATAAAAGGAGAGTACAAAGAAACTCTTATCCCTGCCTCAAGGAGCTCATGGTTGTTGTTGGTTTTTTACTGAGAGGTAAGAGCCAGGCCAGTGCTAAGGCTACAGAAATGAGTATGATGAGGTCCCTGTTCTCAAGAGTCTTCTTGGTTAAGAACGTGAAAGAGTGATTAAAAGCAACTACTACTTATCAGGGTTTTTTTTTACTATGATTGATGCCTTCCACTGGTTATCTCTAGCAATTCAGTAAGCCTAAAATGTTGACATTACAGCTGCATTTTAGAATGAAGGAAATTGAATGTCAGAGACAGATCATTTGTCCAAGGTCACAGAGCTAGAAAATGATTGAGACAAGTCTGAACCCTACTCTCGGACTCAAAGTCAGACCTCCTACCATAATAGGATTTCAATTCTAGAATTGACTGCGACATAGGAGGAGGAAAACTGAGAGCGCTTCCTTATCAGATCTTAGAAAATCAGATCTGGAAGGGCATTCTGATGATGGAATTCAACTCCTTAATTTTACAAATAAAGAAATGGAAGCCTGGAGAAGTTAAATTTATATGACATCTCACAATAGTAAGTGGCAGAGCTAGGATCTGAATCCACTTGAGTTGGATTCTCAAGTCTGAGATTTTCACATTAGGCTACTCTCAAGTGAAAATCTCAACTTCTGTGTAGGTAGATCAGGTCATGACTGGGTGGAAAGAGGTATGAGCACAGCCACTGACAGTCTCACAATTATGCCCAGGGCTAGCACAGCCCCTGGCATATGGGGCACATGAGGGGAAGGTAATGTATTTTGCTTCCTTCAACCATTTTCTCTCTTCAGACCAAGTCAAGCCTCTCTTCCCAAATGTATGCAATCTTCCTATGGATAAGGGCCATTGTCGAGCTGCCTTCCCACGATGGTTTTACAACCGTAACACTGGTAAATGTGAGCAGTTTATTTATGGAGGCTGCAGAGGCAACAGCAACAACTTTTTGAAGAAAGAAGAGTGTGACAAAGTCTGCCATCCCACCTGATTTTTTAATAAAAACACAGTTCTCCGTGGAGCCAGAATTGCGCTAGAGCTATAGAAGGCATTTTTGTGAACAAGAGATGCATTCTTCCACTCCTAAAGCTATTCTCTCTGCTGTGTTCTTAAAATCACTTCATCTCTATGCCTGAAATTCTACAAATGTTGCAAACATGTTTAAAATCTCAAGTCCTTCTTTTTTAAATATACACATTACACATGCACATACAAATTCACTAGGGAAATTTAGAGCAGCCATTCATGCCTTACTATGAATTACTGCTTAGCCTACTGGAAGATAAATACTTTAAAGGAGGGAGGATAAATTTGGAAACGTAGGGCTTGGTATTAGAAGAGACTACATTGAACAAGGTGGGGATTTCTGGAGTCCTGTGAAAAAGGAGACAAAGGAAAAAAGGGAATGGGGGGAATCCAAAGTTAAGGCCTTTTAAAAGAAAATTTGTGAATTTTTATGGAAACCCTTATCAACTAAAGCTAAACCACATTTTGCCATGGGAAGGTTACATGGGGAGAGGAGTGAAGAGCCTTTGTCCTAGAGTTCCTTGGTTTGCCTTAAGCAACACCCATAGCAAGAGAAAGGAGAAAAACATGGGGTTCATCAGGTTCATTTACTTCAGGGGGGAGAATCAAGGCCCACAGATAAGTAGGAACTTCAAGATCATAGGGAGGGAATGAAACAGAGGCACATTTGATCCCATCAAAATGTCCTTTCCACTGCATTGCAATCCCACCCACTCTCCAATTTTCCCAGACTTCTTCTGGGATGAAGGGCAGAATTGAAGGTTGAGCACTCAGTGGGCACTTTAACTATCACTCTGATTCAGGGCCCTCCCTTAAGTCCAAGTCAGCTGCTTCCTATTGTCCAAGGAACAATGTCTACCAGCTGTTGTGGCAGGCCTTGTGCTAAACTCTTTATAAACAGAACATATAAACTTCAGAGTAACTCGGAAAATCAGATTGGACTCATGCTGCTCAAAGTGTGGACCAGGGACTGGCAGTCTCCAGTTAGCTGAGAACTTGTTAGAAATGCAGAATCTCAAGACAAACATTATAACAAGATTTCTGAGTAATCATGGGTACATTAAAGATTAGGAAGCAGTGGTAGATGGGGAAACAAGGATAAAACAGATCAGTAATGTTCGCAAAGCCACATAGCTGCAAAGTGACAGAGATGGCCATTGAGACCATGTTGGTTCGTTTCCAAAGTCCACGGACTTAACTGTTATGCCAAACTCTTTCATGGATCTCAGAACTTCCCCCACCAGGTTGATTTTCAGCTGAAGGTTTTATTAAAAGAGTTTCAAAATACTGTATACCATCAAAACAACAAACGTATCTCACCCTTTTCTCCTCAGGCTCAAAGAGGGACCAGTCTGGGCCATGATGAGAGTGGATGGCCAACTGGAGAGTATAGTATTCCTGGATCTTCTCCAGGAAATGTCTGAGACCGAATCCCAAATGTCTCCCATGGCCACTGTCTTCCTTTTCCAGGCAAGAGAACCAAAGTCATGCCAGCCTACTGAGGACTTCCACAAAAGACAGATTGGCTGCCTCATTCCTAACCTAGGCATCCTTCCATCCACTCCACATGCCCTTCTCCCTTCTCAACATCTCACCATTGGTAACATTCTCCATGGCAAATATCAATGAGATCATCTGTCTCACAACAACGTCCTAGAAATTCTTGAATTGGTTCGATATCTAAATCGCTGGTTCCAAGTTCTGTCTCCCACCCATGAAAGCATCACAACTATCTGGCTTTGAAATTCAGAAAATGTGATCATTATTTCTATAATTCAACTGTGTCTGCATTAACCACCCATTTTGTTGTATAACCCCAAATTCAGGTTCATGTACCCAATGAGCAGCTGATGCTAAACATTGACACACAGGTACTTGGAGACAGAGAGAAGTTTATTCTATTTGGCCAAAGTGAGAAAGCAGGAAGGCAAGATCTCTCAACTCCACCTGAGCAAAAAGAAGAAGCAGGGAGTTTCTGTGTGGTTAGAGTTTTAGGGAAGCAAGGGGGGAAAGTCTGTTTTCTTCCATCTAGATTATACCTTGAACAACCAGACTCCTGGTCACAAGGGGCTGGTCACAGCATCCTAAAAGACTTTCATTCCTTCCTAAAATATTTTTCATGACCCTGAAGTTAGCACTTCCTGCTTGACAAAGAAACAGTACATCAGCAGTTTATAATTATGCTATGGAAACAAAGAATGTTCAGTAAAAAGCAAGTGTAAGGAAGCAAGAGGCTGATAAGAATTTTCATTATTTCCATCACTAAAAATGCTGTGGTGCTGAAATCTCAAGGGGCCCAGTCACAATCTCATGTCTAAAACTGCATCATTAAACAATACTCAACAGCTCCACACAAGACACATCTTCAGAGTGAATGGAAGTAGACAAGGTGGTTCCATACACCCACACATCACTTATCCACTGTTCACCTTCACCCTTTAGTGATCCATTCATCATCCATTTTAAAAAACAAAACAAAACAAAACTGAAATAGCCTTCTCACTGGTCTAAGAGCTTCTATTCTTACCCACTACAGTTTATTTGTGACAGAACAACCAGAATGATTCTTCAATGTCGTGATACTCTATTCAGAATCCTTCATTGGTTTTCCATCTAACTCAGAGTAAAAGCCAATATTCATACAAGTATAATAGCACCCCCCCATATTCACAGTTTCACTTTCCACAATTTTAATTACCTTCAATCTGAAAACATTAAATGGAAAATTCCAGAAATAAACAGTTCATCTGACCCCCAGGAAGATGGTGGCAAAGCCAGTCAGACTGGGCAAGTCCTGTGTGAGTGAGTGTATGGATGAATTTGCATGCCTGTCTATGTGTGAGTGACTGACTGAGTGGGGACTCAGAAGCAAGCGACCATGGCTCTCCTGGTGAAGCAGCTGGTGCCACAGCTGCTCTATATGGACCATAGGACTTCCTAGGACTCAGAAGCTGAGCGCTATTTTCAAAAATCAATAAGGACCTTCCCAGAAAAAAGCTGCCAGGAGCTACTGTCAGCTCCAGGTTCTGCCCGACCACTGCAGTACCAGGCCGGACACTGACAGCAAGGGCCACAGAGGGAGTGCAGTAAGGAAGCCAGACGCAGAATCCCACTGGAAAGGACAAAATAGACACCTCCTGCTCTTGAATGGTCAGGGAGATCTCCTCCAGTGGGGAGGTACAGGATTGTCTCCTCTGCAGGTCCTGGCAGAGGGTGCCCCAGTCAGGCTTTTTCCAGACTAGAGTCCTCCTGTCACAGCTGCCACCCAGGCTCCACCTGGGTTTGTCCCTCTCAGTCATGCCCCAATTATATGGGTCTGATGTTCAGAGGACTGGTGGAGAGGAGGGGGTTGGATCAGCTCAGGACTCACTGGTGATCTCTTGGGTGGTCTTCCTCAACATTTTTTTGGTCACATCCTTTATCAGAGTAGAGGTCAGAGTAGAGGGTGGGACGCCTGAGACTGCACTCATCCTGTTCCTCTGAAGTTTGTGCTTTTGGAATATTTCCTCTGGGTCAATCAACCCCAGCGTAGTTAACCAACCCATCCCAGGGAGTGGGTCTGTTGCTCCATGGTGAACATGCCAGAGCATTTCCTTGCTAAGTTTTCAAGATGGTGGTGGGGTGCCTGTTTTTATCTTCTCCAGTACAATGACCACTTGTATACCTAGGCCTGAATTGTACCCCATATCTTTAAAATAAAAAATAATAATAAATTCATAGGTTTTTAATTGCATGCTGTCCTAAATAGTGTAAGAAATCTTGTGCTGTCCTGCTAGGGACATATATCATCCCTTTGTCCAGTGTATCCATCCTGTACATGCTACCATACCAATCACTTAGAAGCCAACTCAGAATCAGATCAACTGTCGTGATATCACAGTGCTTATATTTAAGTTATCCTTATTTTGCTTAATAATGTCCCCAAAGTGCAAGAGTAATGATGCTGGCATGTTGCTAGAATTGATCTATTTTATTATTTATTCATTATTCATTATAATAATTTATTGCATTATTATTTATTATTGTTAATCTCTTACCATGCCTAATTTATAAATTAAACTCTATCATAAGTACATATGCATAGGAAAAAATAGAATAATAGGGTTCAGAACTATCTTCAGTTTCAGGCATTCACTGGGGTCATGGAACATAGTCTCCACAGATAAGGGGAGACTACTGAATTCACCTCAGTCTCCTACACTCAGGCCTTCAGTAGATGATGTGGACAGCACCCATATTCCTGGACCTCTAGGAATGAAGTGCCTATTCCCCCAGTTGCTGAGAGTTTTATATCTGATGGTTCTCAACTGAGTTCCTCTACTCCTCTATGGAAGATAAATAATGCAGATACTGCCTGCACCTGCTCATTGGCTGCTTGACTGTGAGTTGTGACGTGAACTCAGCCTATCAGATGCTCCTGCCTTTGACTTTGGATCTGGTGGGAATGATACAAAGACTCAAAAACTGTTGAGAAAGTTTTGACAGTTGCATTGCTGAAAATCTGGGGGTCACAGAGCATTGAGTTCCTGGCAGTGGTAGTCTTGTGGGGTGGCTGAAGACCCATTGGTAGTGGCCAGGTTTGTGGTGCCACGAACCAAGAGTTGGATGAGACACACAGAGAGCAAAAGCAAAGAGTAGTTTATTAAACAAAAGCGACAGGTGATAGTACACACCAAAGAAAAGATAGGAGTGGGTTCGAGCTGAGGCGTAATTCAAGAGCCTCAAGTCAAACAAAATTAGGACCTTTCATACTCTTTTTGTATGGGAAAGTGGGTTCTGATTTTGCAAAGTTTGCAAAAAGAAAACATTTTGACTAATGTTTCTGGGGTTAAATGTACTTCCTGGGGATGGGGTAACATTTCAGGTTACTGTGCAAGTTTCTACCTGCCATCCCATAATTTTAATTATATGCATGAGATGCAGTCCATATGTATTGCCTTAACTAGGTCTTTTTTTTTTTTTTTT